TCCCGAAGTTGCGTGATTTGGAGGTGAATGCAAGAAAAGTTGGCGAACGGGCTCGTAGGGAGTTGCTTCGTGCGGGTATGGTTCTAAGCAATGGGCGATAGAGTGGAGGGGTGAAGCATGTGTATCTCTTTTGCTGTATTTTATCTGGAATAAGTTGAAAGTGGAATGGAATTATTTCCTTATATATTGGATGGAGGTGCAGCGTGACAGCATGAGTGAAAATTCGTATGAAGGCATGTGCTGTGTGTCTCCAATCAGAACTTGAATGAGAGACCTCTTGATGAAAGACACTATGCAGTATATGCACCATAAGGTTACGTGGAGTGTAGTTTTTTGAATGCCAGGTTGCATCCTTGGGCTATGGCAGACTCAGAAGTCATCTGTCGTGGCTGTGGCTTCGGCTGGCGTGTCACTTTCGAATCAACCGCGTCAGCGATTGGGTCCAAAATGCATGGCGAACTTCGTCAAATCGATTGCTTTGGTCTCGCATGCTCATAGGGAACTCCAGTCCCGTGCCTCGTCAGTCATCTCGCTGACCTGGATTGGCTGAAATCAAGGCTGCCAATGTCAGTGCGCGTGCGCATGCCCGCATTGGCAGACCCATAATTTGTTTGGCGCGCATGGAAAGATGCCAAGGCGCATCTTCAAGAACGCCCGCCCTTGCCCCACTCCCACTCAACTTTCCCCAACCACGCACATCAACAAAAACAACCAGCGCACTTCACGCCACGCCACTTACGCAACCTGAGCAATTCCGCACCGCGCGAGAACTGTATCATTGCATTCAATGTCAAACCGCATTGGCCGCAATTTCCGACGTGGCATTCCAAGCATCTGGCGAATGGGAATCCTCGCAACCAGTTCACGGGCGAGGTGCCTCGTACGGTTGGTATGGACGCATCAAGTCCACATTTTATCCAATCCGAAGCAAGCGACTCAAAGAAGCCTGGATTCCGGGCAGGATTCCTCGACCTGGAAATTGGATGACGCAACGTTATCCACATTTTCTGCCCCCGTCATGGAGTGCTGAAAGGCACCTGTCTCCTAAGCACACGTGTCACCATCAGCGTGTCATGTCAATCAGAATCAGGGAGGATTCTTCAGGTACGGTATCAACGCGCATGCACTTTGGTGCTGCAGAGCGTGGTGGAATCTTGAATTGAAAGGTCGTTTTCGGTTGGTCTCTCTGTCTCCCTCAGCGGCAGCCATGGATTTTACCGCTGGTCAATGTCTGTCTGACACAACATAACCCGCATAAGGAATCAATCGGTTCCCTGAACTTCCTCTTCGCCACACACACAGCGCAGCACATACAGAAGAGCCAACTTGTGTGGTCCTGACGTTTCTGAATCAGAACCTTTCAATGTCAGCATCCCCCATTCCGTGAGCAATTTCCTCCAGGATATTCGTCCTAGTAGATGCTTCACCTCAGTTGCACTCGTCAGTCAATCTTGCACAACCTTCGTTGAAATTAAGTGGAGTTTGCTGGCACATGCATCTACGAAACTACAATTTCTGAAATTTCCTCCCAGCGTGCTCCTAAGGCAGCCTCAGAGTACGAGAGCTCGCACAGCAACAACCCCGTAGTCAAGTTTTTCCTTCAAACAGAGCACGAAACACGCATCGCCAGACCAAGTTTCACTCAGCTACTATGTCTGGTCTCCTTGACATTCTTGCCTTGGGTACCACTACATCCCTTTGTCAGACCAAAATTCAATCTTCTCTCGGACATGTCTCCCTTAGCAATAGGTTCCTTCCTCCTCTGACTAATATCACTGACACCTCACTCGCGAAGAATTCGACCGACCATACTCAACCTTCAACGATGGAAGCAGCTTTCGTCGACACTAGGAAGACTGCCGTTTATGAACCCACAACGGAGGCATCAGGATTCAGCAGCACGGGTAATTCCACGTGGGACAGTGCAGCTGGCCTTCAATTGATACGCCACGTCAGCAGCAACATCCCGTGCAGCAGCTGCAGCAGGTTTGTACTATCAAACCAGCACACAAACCCAAAGCTGCTGACATACTTTTCACTATCAGTCATTCCCGACGCGTGCTACAGCTATGCGCCCTTCCTAAATCTGTCTGTCAGCTATCTCGCATATGTCATTCTCTAATTTCTTCCGTTATTCCCGAATCTCGCTCCCGTGTCACAGCTCGCAAAGCGACTCTTCGTGCGACTCGTTTTGCCTCGACGAAATGGTCTCCGAGTTCATGGAGGAAGATAGCGACGCTCGAGACGCTGGCGACGGTTATGACTGTCGCACGAACAGTTTCCATGCTTCTCTGGCGAGGTCTGCCAGGAGATCCGATTTGGAACCTGCAGAAGCGTTGGCGGCGCTAGACGGCTCTCAACGACCATCAATAACCGGAGATGGCGAAAATGACAGTGGTGGGCGTGACTCGCCGAGATGCGTCGGCGAAAAACGGGACAACCACGTGTACGACGCTCCTGCTGATGCGTGGCGGTGTCAATTCTGCGGAGGGGCTCAGTGTGACGGTGTGGACTGCCAGCGGCATACGAGTTACAATCACCACGGCCTTTATGTGAATCAGCAACGGACAGCAAACAGTTCATGCAGCGAGATTGAACAGCTCGCATCCATGATTGAGGTCAGTGGTGCCTAGCTGGTCCTGATGCGTCTTAGAAGGTATACACAAGGTCACTGAGTCTGGTTGTCCTCTCCGAATTAGATTCAAGTATGGCTTTTCAGGGAGTCGACGCCTGTTTTCTAATTTCTGTTGTCGTTTCTGTGTGTCTCTCCATTGTTTTTTCTTTCGCGTTTCCTTTTTGTTACAGCCACTCAGCTGCTGCGAGACTCCAGAGGAATATGCAGTGCTTGATGTTGTGACTTCTGCCATGGAGCACACAGTGACCTCGTCTGCTGATCTCCGCACAAGCGGCAGCGGCAGCAGCAGCAGCAGCAGCAGTAGAATACGCAATACTGTGGTGCAGCAGTTGCGGGGTCGGGGATATGATGCTGCTGTGTGTTATTCTCAGTGGGACTACTCCAATGGCATCCCTGATGGTAAGAACTGAGTCGACCTTCCCACAGTATTCAATACTACATCCTGGTCAATTTCCACCCCTAATCAATACTTCCCACCATCCTGGTCAATTCCCCTCAACCTAGCTGCAAGTCCTCTCTTCGTCGCCTTTCACACCTGACATTTGCCAATCGTCCTCACACTACCTTTCCCTCCCTTATCGTTTGTCGTATCTGCTGGCAGGCTCGCATGAGTACTGTGACGTCATCCTTCATCCATCCACCCCACATCGTCCACCTGAGAGGCTCATTGTCGACCTCGAATTTCGGGCACAGTTCCAAGTCGCTCGTCCGACACCTCAGTACAGTTACATCTTGCAGCTGGCCCCGGTTTCTTTCGTCGGCTGCCCGGACCGGTTACACCGTCTGGTGGAAATTTTGTCCGAGGCAATGCGGCTGTCTCTGCATGCCCAGGGCATGCACGTGCCACCCTGGCGCCGACACCCATACCTCTCTGCCAAGTGGACAGCCATTTACTCGCGCCAAGTCAGCACTTCTGCAGAATTTTCAGGGGATTCTGAAACATCTGCTGCTGTTGCTGCAGTCTCTGCTTCTGCCAATACATCAGCTGCTACGCCTGGTCCTGCTGTAGCCACTGCACCCAACCACATGCAGATTCCAGTACAACTGAATCCAAGGCACATGGGCTTCACTCGTGTACTCGATCATACCCGGCAGCACAGGCCAAGAGCTGCTGTGGTGGGCCTGCTGGCGAGAGGAATGAAAGAGCTGGCTCTGCACCGCCAGGCAGTGGTTTGAGGCTTCACCATGTATCCTCAAAGGCTGTCACACGTCTTCAAGTTCCACCCATGGAACCTCATAAGGCAGTCACCGCCACGCAGATTTTTGAAAATTTACCTGAAGTGACAGTCGCCATCAAGGCAGAAGATGGCCTGCGCATATAGCATGGCATAGATTGCTCCAGTCTCACCTGCCCGGAGTGAGAGCTGATGCGTGCAGTTTTATCTTTGAAGGTCACTGAGGCTTCTATACAGAGCTGCGCGGACAGGGTGCCAACTGAGGTTGGGCCTGTCGTGCACTATCCAATTTTGCATTGGCTTCGATAATTCAAATTTGTATCACTGTTCATAAACATGTACCAGCATCTGTTGTTCTCTACCTCTTCAAAGGATTCAATTCAATTCTCACCCCTTGAAAGAGACGATACATGTTCATTTGCAATGAAGAGGGGGTAGGGTGTTTGATCATATATATAGTTATAATAAATTTGACAAACAAACTTAGGGTCATCCATGGACAGGTATCATGAGGCTCCTGTACATCACCCACCCACCTTCTCTTCCCGCTACGGTAAAATAAGAGGAGAAGAGCTGTTGAGCGGGGGTGAAGCTAAGAGCACTGGAGGAGTCTCATGATGGCTGTCCACGAGGAGGAAGCACCCTAAACTACACAGTAGCGAATTGAAGTGGGAAAATGAGAGCTGCTGTGCTGCTGCTGCTCTGCTGGTCCTGATCCTAGACCAGGCGTTACTGCTGCTACGGAACATTCATGCTTTGATGAATCAAAAGGTTTCTCCCCAGAGGCCGGGGACGTTCTCGAGGATCTCAAAATCGCCCAGGTCGCAGACAGAGGGCGACATTGTCGCAGGGGTCGCTAGGACGCCGCAGAAGCTGTCGCTGAAAAGCTCCTCAATGAGGGAGAGCGCGGACGGGACGTCGGAAGCGGATAATTTCTCGTTATCAACCACTCCGTTAGTACTAATAGCCGCTGCGTCAGACTGCTTCTGCAGATAAATCTCGCAATCAGCGCTCGTTGACGCGGAAGTCTCACAATTGGGAAGACGGCAAGTCTCGTCGTGGCCATTCGGCGTCACATCCAGCGCGAGCGGCGCGAAAGGGCATTCAGACACCACCACGTTCTGCCCGACAACCTCCAAACACGCCATGTCGCCGCGGAACGCGGACAAGTCAACGGTCGTATCGCCTTCGCCGCTGTTGGCTCGCGCAACTTTAATGAGCGCCTCGGCGATGCTCTTCGCGACGGTCACGGGACGTGGGGCCGCGTCGGGAGCGTTGAGAGGGACCGTCGAGGAATCTTCGCCGAAGATCATCCGCGCCGCCATGTCGTATACGCGCACCGCTTCCTCCGCCGTCGCGTAGGAGCCCAGCCACACGCGCGTCTTGGTGCGCGGGCAGCGGATCTCCGTCACCCACCGCCCCCACTTGCGCTGCCGCACGCCCTTGAGGCGGCGGGGGAGCGCGGGGAAAGCGGCGGGGGCAGCGACGGGCGCGGGAGACGAGGGGTGAGCGGGGGAGCACGCGAGTGCGGATGAGTAACCCGGGGAGGAGAGCGGGGAGATCGGCGGAGAGGCAAGCGAAGAGGTTGTTTGGGGAGACGCGGTCAACGCGGTCAACATGGTCGGCTGGAACTCGCCGTCGAAGGTGGAAAGGACTGAATTGGGAGTAACGGAGGGCGCAGATGAAACGCCATTGAAACTAGTCTCGGAAATGCGAGCGCGCTTCTCCGGGCTGTTGGGAAGGAAAGGCGGTAATGTTGAGTCCATAAAGGTAGACGTCTTGCTATCGAGTTTGCGCTTCAGCGTTGTGGCGTCCGGGAAAAGAAGGGAGTGAGCCCACGGAGTAACGAAGTTGGGAAAGGCGGGAAATTCCATCTTATAACGTGCCGAATCAACTATAGCTAGGCTGTTTGCTAACGCTGTGGTTTTGCCCTGAAACGAAGTTCGTTGAGTTCGTTGGTGGTAGGGGAGGAAGTGGGAATTGTGAGTTCGTTTTGGAAAAGCTGATGGGTGGAATTGAAAATGTTCGTTCCTTTATGCTGGTGCTCGTTGGGGTTGGGGAGAGTACGCGGAAGAAGTGACCGTCATCGCGGAAGAGGAAAGGCTCCGCGGACGGAAGGAAGCTGGGTGGCTGTGCGTTGACGAAGTTTCGTTTGACTGGCGAAACTGTTCTGAGGCAGCACGAATCGTAGCGAAGGCAGACGAAGCCAGTTGAATGCGAGACGACGGAGGCAATGGGAGGTGGCGGAAGTGAAAGCGGAGGCTCGATTGGGGGAGGACAGGGGAAGAATGAACAAGGGACGCACAAATTCAAATGCGGCTCGTAATTCTGAATGCACGCCTCGGGTGTGAACTGCGCGCTCCGCGGGTGAATTGATCCCAACATCTGTTGGGAACGCTGGAGGCCAAAAAAATAGGTTTTGTCGTTACGCTAAAAATCAGAACCTTCACCGCCCCGCCCTTACGTAAAAATCTTCCCTAGTGAGTCACTTGGGACTGGTAAGGTATGTGCTGGTGTGCCTCAAATATCACAAATGGTTTAGAAATGTATTCACTAAATACATCACTACAATGTGGAAGCTCGCGTCCCATTTTAAAATAGCAGCTCCTCTCATGCATTCTGATCTCATGTTGATAAGTCAATGGAGGCAATCAAACCTAAGTCGGTTTGAACGTATACATTAACAATTTCGAATGCAAGAGATTTGCATTATTGTGTTGAGACTGCATATTGTAAGTAGATATTCATACCCACAATAGCTGGCCATTGTATCCATGGCAGTATATGTGAATTCTTCCTGGCCATCCTAAACTGCATTTCGAATTGCAAGCAAAAGGTGCTCACAGGAAGCTATAGCAAATGGACCATGTGCAACGGCAGAACAATTTTATTATCAACAATAAGGAGAACACACACACGGATATACATAACAATCACCCATGGACAGGCATCATGAGGCTCCTGTACGCCTCCAACACAGCTTCCCATTCCCGATAAAGAAAAAATAGTGAAGGGAGCTGTAGAAGGTGGAGCTAAGAGCACTGGAGGAGGCTCATGATGGCTGTCCACGAGGAGCAAGCGACCCACTAATGGGTAAACACAGGTGCGGCTGTTCCCAGTAAAGCTGGGAGCTCGAGGTGTGCTGCTGCTGGCGCTGGAGATGGCGTTGCTGATGCCGGAAAGACTTTCCTGCCAAAGTCAGTCAGAACATTTCTTCCCAGAGGCTAGATACGTTCTCCAGGCTCTCAAAATCGCCCAGGTCACAGACCGAGGGCGACATCGCTGAAGGGGTCGCCAGGATGTCGCAGAAGCTGTTGTCGAAGAGCTCGTCAATAAGGGATAGCGGAGATTGGACCCTGGGAGCAGATGATTTCTCGTTATCAGCCACTCCGCTAGTAGTAACCGCCTCCGAATGCTCACGACGAATCTCTGAATAAGCGGCGTTCGTTGACGCTGCAGATTGACATTTCGAAAAGTGGCAAGTCTCGCCTTGAGCGCTCGGTGCGACTGTGAGCGCGAGCGGTGCGAAAGGGCATTCAGATACCACCACGTTCTGCCCGACAACCTCCAAACACGCCATATCTCCGCGAAACGCGGACAAGTCAACGGTCGCGTCGCCGTTGCCGCTGCTGGCTCGCGCAACCTTGATTAGCGCCTCGGCAATGCTCTTCGCAACGGTTACGGGACGCGGGGCCGCGTCGGGCTCGTTGAGAGTGACCTTCGAGGCAACTTCGCCGAAAATCATCCGCGCCGCCATGTCGTATACGCGCACCGCTTCCTCCGCCGTCGCGTAGGAGCCCAGCCACACGCGCGTCTTGGTGCGCGGGCAGCGGATCTCCGTCACCCACCGCCCCCACTTGCGCTGCCGCACGCCCTTCAGGCGGCGGGGAAGCGCAGGGGCAGCGGAATCGGCGGGGGAAGCGGCGGGTGCGGGGGATGCGCGGGGAGCGAAGGAAGAGGTGAGAGCGGATGTGGCTGTCCCGGAAGAGAGGGGGGATATCGGCGGAGAGGTGAGGGGAGAGCTTGTTGGGGAAGACGGGGCCAGCGGAGGCAAGGCTTGAAACTCCCCGTCGAAGGAGGAAAAGACTGAACTGGGAGTGGCGCAGGGCGAATACTTAACGCCAGAAAATCTAATGTCGGGAATGCGAAGGCGCTTTTCTGGGCTGGCGAGGAAAGGTGGTAACGTGGAGTCGAGAATGGTGGACGTTTCGCTATCCGCTTTGCGCTTCAGGGTTGTGGTGTCCGGAAAGAGAAGGGAGTGAGCCCACGGGGTGACGAAGCTGGGATAGGCGGGGAAATCCATATGCTAACGTACTGAACCAAACTTATCGCAGTTGTTGCGCAGTAGTCTCTAAGAATCCTAGAGTAATTTCGCTTCTGGAGAGAGTTTCGCTTCAAATTATGCTATCGTGAGCAGTAAATAGGAAAGCAATGCGAATTGGATTGGATATTTGAAAAAGCTGATGGCTCAAATGAAGAATGCTCGCCGCTTTTTATATGTGCTCGTTGGGTCGTTGGGGGGGAAGGCACGCGCAGCAAGTGACTGTCACTGCGGAAGGGGCAGGGCTCTGTGGGGGGAAGGCTGGGCGTGGATGCGCGTACGCGAAGATGCAGTGACTGGCGAAATCGAATGCGAGGCGAGGCGAGGTTTGGCGAGGATCAACGAGACCAGGCGAGACGGTGGAGGCGATGGCGGTGGGGGGAAGGTTCGAATATGGAAGGAGGGCAGCGGAAGGTGAAAAGGGATGTTACCCGTTTCGACGCGACTCGACATGAAATGCGCGCCCTGGTTTGTGACATGCGCGCTCCGCGGGTATTTTTCAGAGCGGACAAACTTGCTTTTGTCGTCTGGCGTAAAAATCGAACGATTGGCCACATGTTCTGGCGGTAACTAGAAGTTTCGTGCATTTCCGAACTTCCGTTTCTTGGGAGGCTCTGTTTACCGCACTCCGATAATGCTTTGTATGTGGTGTGAGCGTGAGCTTCACTATGAGACTTCTTTCATAAAAAACCAAAACCTAAATGACAAAGCATTTGTGTCAACATTTTCGGATTATTATGTCAACGCGCAGAAATGGTCAACCAATCAAGGGCTTGACGTTTGAGTTTGTGCCAGGGTAGAAGACTGTGCGGACTGCATCGTTGATAACACGGACCATGATAAGTTGCAGTTCCGAGGCCTTCTGCTTGAGCAAGCGGGGTGGTATGACGACGGAGCAACAACAATACGGCACCGTATATGATTGTAAAAACGTTGTTCCAGCATGTTCCACATGAATGTAATATAGTACGGCAGAAACTACATGCTTGGAATGAACAAAGCGTCATTGCAGCAAAACTCACTGCAGCAGGTTGGACTTACCCCTTGCGGTGGGTCGGCAAGAATTGGCGGTACTTGCCCAGGCTGTGTGTAGTCTCTCTTGTCAAATCGCCACACTACCTTGTCAGCTTCATCCTACGGAAGAAAGGGGAAGGGGGAATGGTGGAAGGGGGAGCAAGAAGAGTAGAAAGAAAATGAGCGGATTGAGAAATCAATGGCACTTAGCCGGGGTAAGAATGTGATATCTTCTTGTTGTCAGACCGCCTGCCTACCACTTCAGCTCTGTACTAGGAAAAGAGAGAAGTGAGGGTGAGCGAAAGGAGAGAGAACAAAGAGCAGAAAGAGAGGAGAGCCAGCGATTGTTACGTCTGCCTACTCGCGCTTGATACTTCTTAATTCCATGAAGTGTTACGCCTGCCTACTCGCGCTTGATACTTCTTAATTTCTAAAACTGTTCCTCACACAGCACGTCTTTCTGGCGGCATTGAGCTGACAATAGGCTAGGCACCCTCTCTGCGATTTTCAGGATAATCACTACAGGACATAAGAATGACATTTGAAATGTTCTGTACCTTCAAGGCCGCAGCCCCATTTGTGTCAACTACAGTTTCTTGTGTGGAGCATGATTTTGAGAGAAAAAAAGGTTCTAAGCAGTGCGATATAAACTTGAATTGACATGGAAAATAATGAATGGAATGTACCTTGAACTCGTATCCCCAAGTGTAATGAATGATGGCTGCATCTCCCAATACAGAGTCGGCTGGAGGCTGTAGGAGAGGGAGGAGAGAGAAAGGGAATGGAGGGATGCACAACAGCAAGGGGGGAGAATGCAGAGGTACATGGGGAGAACTTCGGATCCCACGTGTTATGAAGTTCTCCCGGGCACATGGCAGTCCGCCCGTGTTATGGATGGTACTGATAACTATTGAGTCGGCTCAGAAACATGGGCGGAACTTTCAATCCCACATGTTCATCATGGGTGGCTGCATCAACCAGCACGGAGTCTGGTGGAGATTGGGAAGGAAGGGATGGGAGTACTGCCATGCCATGCCATGCCATGCCACCCCATGCCATGTCACGCCATGCCATGCCATGCCATGCCATGCCATGCCATGCACATCGCACCCACCTGCACCATGATGGCAAGTGGCACCAGAGGCAGGTCGATGGGCATGTTGCCACCATGCAACGTCATGCCACCACACCATGCACAGCCCCCACTCACCTGCACCAAAGCCCATCCATCTGAACCACATCCAACCCACCTGCACCATAATGGCATGTGGCACGAGGGGCAGGTCGATGGGCATGTTGCCATCATGCCGTGCCATGACCACCCACCTGCACCGCATTCCACCTACCTGCACCATAATAGCATGTGGCACGAGGGGCAGGTCGATGGGCATGTTGCCGAGAGCAGCAGCAATGGAAAAAGCATACATCTCGCGCACCCACCTGTGGTGGTGGGGGGAGAGGGGAGAAACGGGGAGACGGGAGGGAGGAAAAGGAGGAAGTGGGGTGTATGACAGTTACACAGGGAGAGCAAGGGAGATGGAGAAAGCATACATCTCGCGCACCCACCTGTGATATGGGTAGGGAGGGGAAGGGGGTGTGGTGTTGGGGGGGGAAAGACAGGGATGCAGGAAGCTGTGGGGGGGGGGTGGGGCAGTGGGATGGGAGGCAGGCCTAGGAGACACGCCGTTTGGGCAAACACAGGAGAGCCATATGTCAACCCGTCGGGAGAAGCAAGTCGTCAACCCTCTTCGTCCTTCTCGAACCACGCTGTGATGTCAACCCAAATGGGACCAACAACAACCACCCCTCTCCGCTACTACGCTCCCCTTCCCTCCCTTACTCCCCCCTCCTTCCTTTCCCACCACCCTCACGCTTTCATGCTCTAGCAACCCCCCCACCCACCCACCCGAGGTCCTTCTTGGCCTCTTCGTCCTTCTCAAAGCGGGCTGTGATGTCAACCCATATGGGATCAAAGCAAATCACCTCTCTCCTCCGGGTTACTTCCCTCCTCTCCCTTTATATACCTACCCACCCACCCAGCCCTCACATTCTCATCCTTCACTCACCCGAGGTCCTTCTTTGCCTCTTCGTCCTTCTCGAACCGGGCTGTGATGTCCACCCATATCGGCACCACACGTCTGGTGTGTAGGGGAATGGGGGGAATGGGGGTGATGCAGTGAGAGGGAAGAAAGAGGGAAAGAGAGAGGGGAAATGAAAATGGGAAGCGCAGAGGGGAAGTGAGAGAGGGGAAGTGAGTGAGGGGAAGTGAGAGAGGCGAAGCGAAGTGAGAAGGGGCAAATGGGAGACTTGAAGTGAGAGGGGAAGTGAGAGGGAAAATGAGAGAGGGTAAGTGAGAGAGGAGAAGAGGGAGAGACAGAGGAGTTGAGAGAGGAACATGGGGAAGGCGAGGTGAGAGGGGGGAAGAGGGAGAGAGGTACTGACGCAAGAGCAGCAGTGGGAGCGAGAACTGGTGCGTTGCCTGTCTGAGGAATGTCCTTTAGATCGCCGGGATAGTAGCTGCAAAGGGGGAGGGGTGGTTTTAGAAGGAAAATAAGAGAGGAGAGAATAGAGATGGTGTCAGGGTGAGGGGTGGTGGGGATGGTCAACTCAGGGCGGAGCAGAAAAGATTGAAACTGAGAGTAGCAGATTATGATGGGGTTGATGAAATGGGAGGGTAGGTGGGGATGATATTCAACACGCAGAACAGAGCAGAGCACCGCACAACACAGCACAGCACCAAAGACAGAGCAGAGAGTAATGAATCATGATGTGGTGGATGGAATACGAGGGTAGGTGGGGATGATGTCTAGAACGCAGAACAGAGCAGAGCACCGCACAGCACAGCACAGCACACATACCGAATCATGATGTGGTGGATGGAGGGGTAGGTAGGGATGATGTAGCCAAACGGAAAGCCCAGAGCGCGCCCTGTTGGGGGGATGGCGACGGGCCTGGCAGGAAGAAAAAAGACCAGAGGGCTGAGAGGGATGAGAAAGAAGACCAGAGAGCTCAGAACAGGATGGTAGGGTTTGTTTTACACTGGCAAAAGGAGGAGGAGGGAGGAGAACAGAGGTGTAACGTTTTTAGTATGACAAGAAGGTGGCCTTATTTTTGTGCTGTAAAATTGACATCATCCTCGTTATAAGCTCACTTGACATAAGCTCACTTGACAACGAGGGAATCCGTATCAGTCATGAATATCCACTCGCCCTTCACATCACAGTTGCCATCCCCGTTATAGGCTCACTTGACGAATACATAGCCAGTGCCTGCCTGCTGGATTTGCCATCCCCGCTATAAGCTCACTCACTTGACAAAAAGGTAGTCGGTCTCTATCATAAAAATCCAGTCGCCCTTCACATCCCCCGACTCCAGCCACTGCTGGATGGCGAAGGGGCGATCAGCCACTGGGTACTCGCACCTGGTGAGGGGAGGAGGGGAGAGGAGAGGAGAGGAGAGGAAAGGGGAGATGGAAGGTAAATCTAGTGCATATCTGAGTGGGCCCTCACACATTCCTCGACTCCAGCCACTGCTGGATGGCGAAGGGGCGATCAGCCACTGGGTACTCGCACCTGGTGAGGGGAGGAGGGGAGGGGAAGAGAGAGGTAAGAAGAGTGGTTAGGATACATACATGCATGCATATATGAATGGTCCTTCACATCACCCGGACTCCAGCCCCTGCTGCTGGATGGCATAGGGACGATCAGGCACTGGGTACTCGCACCTAGTGAGGGGAGGAGGGAGAAGGGGAGAATAGGAGAGGAGGTAAGAAAGGTGGTTAGGCTGCCCCTCCTGCTGTGATTAGTTGTGATTGCATGCATGCTTCAGTGGTCCTTCACGTCACCCGGACTCCAGCCACTGCTGGATGGCGAAGGGGCGATCAGTCACTGGGTACTCGCACCTGGTGAGTGGAGGGGAGGGGAGGAGAGGTGAATAGGCCGTGATAGATGGATAATAGAGAGAACATCGTGCATGAGAGTGACTTTTGAGGCGCCTCAAAAGAGGGGAGGATGGAGAGAGAACATCGTGGATGAGAGTGGATAGGGCCGTTATCAGACTTGGGCTTGAGAGGCCGTACAGGGCGAAGGGGGGAGCGCAGGAGGGGAGCAGGAGAAGGGCGAGAGAAGAATGAGAGGAGTGAGATGGGAGCATGAGAAGCCAAGGGAAGATACCTCCTAAACAGCAGGGTGGAAGTGCAACGTACCAGTCATCGCACTTGGGTTCCAGTGGTCGCACAGGCGGAAGGGAAGGGGAAGGGCGGGAGAGGAGTGAGAAAGGAGGGTGGAAAGCGGAGAGAAAGGAGGTCCAAGAACGCAAGCAGGGTGGAAGTGCAACGTACCAGTCATCGCACTTGGGTTCCAGTGGTCGCACTCGCACCTGAGCGGTTCAGATCAGAGCAGAAGATGGGGCGCAGGTTGGGGGAAAGGGCAGGAGAAACAGGAGGCGGAAGGGAAAAAGAATAGGAGGAGGAAGGAAGAAGAGCAGAAGGGCATGAGCTTCAATGAATCAGGCCGGAGAGGGGTGGAGTTCAGGGATATTCAGGGTTATCACGTATGCCCTGGTATCACTTACGCCCTGGGCACTCGCAGTGGGCACTCGCAGCTGGCATGAGGTGCATTCACTAAAAGCACACTTTTCAAAAAGCATGACTCACAGTGGGCACAAAGTTCATTCACTAAAAGCACATTTTTTAGAAGCTATGACTCACAGTGGGGACGAGGTGCATTCACTCACAGTGGGGACGAGGTGCATTCACTCACAGTGGGCACGAGGTGCATTCACTCACAGTGGGAACGAGGTGCATTCACTCACAGTGGGCACGAGGTGCATTCACTCACAGTGGGGACGAGGTGCATTCACTCACAGTGGGCACGAGGTGCATTCACTCACAGTGGGAACGAGGTGCATTCACTCACAGTGGGAACGAGGTGCATTCACTCACAGTGGGAACGAGGTGCATTCACTCACAGTGGGCACGAGATGCATTCACTCACAGTGGGCACGAGGTGCATTCACTCACAGTGGGGACGAGGTGCATTCACTCACAGTGGGAACGAGGTCCATTCACTCACAGTGGGGACGAGGTGCATTCACTCACAGTGGGCACGAGGTGCATTCACTCACAGTGGGCACGAGGTGCATTCACTCACAGTGGGGACGAGGTCCATTCACTCACAGTGGGCACGAGATGCATTCACTCACAGTGGGGACGAGGTGCATTCAGTCACAGTGGGCAAGAGATGCATTCACTCACAGTGGGGACGAGGTGCATTCACTCACAGTGGGCACGAGATGCATTCACTCACAGTGGGCACGAGGTGCATTCACTCACAGTGGGGACGAGGTGCATTCACTCACATCACAGTGGGCACGAGGTGCATTCACTCACAGTGGGGACGAGGTGCATTCACTCACAGTGGGAACGAGGTCCATTCACTCACAGTGGGGACGAGGTGCATTCACTCACAGTGGGCACGAGGTGCATTCACTCACATCACAGTGGGGACGAGGTGCATTCACTCACAGTGGGCACGAGGTGCATTCACTCACAGTGGGAACGAGGTGCATTCACTCACAGTGGGCACGAGGTGCATTCACTCACAGTGGGAACGAGGTGCATTCACTCACAGTGGGCACGAGGTGCATTCACTCACAGTGGGCACGAGGTGCATTCACTCACAGTGGGGACGAGGTGCATTCACTCACAGTGGGCACGAGGTGCATTCACTCACAGTGGGGACGAGGTGCATTCACTCACAGTGGGGACGAGGTGCATTCACTCACAGTGGGCACGAGGTGCATTCACTCACAGTGGGAACGAGGTGCATTCACTCACAGTGGGAACGAGGTGCATTCACTCACAGTGGGAACGAGGTGCATTCACTCACAGTGGGCACGAGATGCATTCACTCACAGTGGGCACGAGGTGCATTCACTCACAGTGGGGACGAGGTGCATTCACTCACAGTGGGAACGAGGTCCATTCACTCACAGTGGGGACGAGGTGCATTCACTCACAGTGGGCACGAGGTGCATTCACTCACAGTGGGCACGAGGTGCATTCACTCACAGTGGGGACGAGGTCCATTCACTCACAGTGGGCACGAGATGCATTCACTCACAGTGGGGACGAGGTGCATTCAGTCACAGTGGGCACGAGATGCATTCACTCACAGTGGGGACGAGGTGCATTCACTCACAGTGGGCACGAGATGCATTCACTCACAGTGGGCACGAGGTGCATTCACTCACAGTGGGGACGAGGTGCATTCACTCACATCACAGTGGGCACGAGGTGCATTCACTCACAGTGGGGACGAGGTGCATTCACTCACAGTGGGCACGAGGTGATTCACTCACAGTGGGGACGAGGTCCATTCACTCACAGTGGGCACGAGGTGCATTCACTCACAGTGGGCACGAGGTGCATTCACTCACAGTGGGCACGAGGTGCATTCACTCACAGTGGGGACGAGGTGCATTCACTCACAGTGGGGACGAGGTGCATTCACTCACAGTGGGCACGAGGTGCATTCACTCACAGTGGGAACGAGGTCCATTCACTCACAGTGGGGACGAGGTGCATTCACTCACAGTGGGCACGAGGTGCATTCACTCACAGTGGGGACGAGGTGCATTCACTCACATCACAGTGGGGACGAGGTGCATTCACTCACAGTGGGGACGAGGTGCATTCACTCACAGTGGGCACGAGGTGCATTCACTCACAGTGGGGACGAGGTCCATTCACTCACAGTGGGGACGAGGTGCATTCACTCACAGTGGGCACGAGGTGCATTCACTCACAGTGGGCACGAGGTGCATTCACTCACAGTGGGGACGAGGTGCATTCACTCACAGTGGGGACGAGGTGCATTCACTCACAGTGGGCACGAGGTGCATTCACTCACAGTGGGAACGAGGTGCATTCACTCACAGTGGGAACGAGGTGCATTCACTCACAGTGGGAACGAGGTGCATTCACTCACAGTGGGCACGAGATGCATTCACTCACAGTGGGCACGAGGTGCATTCACTCACAGTGGGGACGAGGTGCATTCACTCACAGTGGGAACGAGGTCCATTCACTCACAGTGGGGACGAGGTGCATTCACTCACAGTGGGCACGAGGTGCATTCACTCACAGTGGGCACGAGGTGCATTCACTCACAGTGGGGACGAGGTCCATTCACTCACAGTGGGCACGAGATGCATTCACTCACAGTGGGGACGAGGTGCATTCACTCACAGTGGGCACGAGATGCATTCACTCACAGTGGGGACGAGGTGCATTCACTCACAGTGGGCACGAGATGCATTCACTCACAGTGGGCACGAGGTGCATTCACTCACAGTGGGGACGAGGTGCATTCACTCACATCACAGTGGGCACGAGGTGCATTCACTCACAGTGGGGACGAGGTGCATTCACTCACAGTGGGAACGAGGTCCATTCACTCACAGTGGGGACGAGGTGCATTCACTCACAGTGGGCACGAGGTGCATTCACTCACAGTGGGGACGAGGTGCATTCACTCACATCACAGTGGGGACGAGGTGCATTCACTCACAGTGGGGACGAGGTGCATTCACTCACAGTGGGCACGAGGTGCATTCACTCACAGTGGGGACGAGGTCCATTCACTCACAGTGGGGACGAGGTGCATTCACTCACAGTGGGCACGAGGTGCATTCACTCACAGTGGGGACGAGGTGCATTCACTCACAGTGGGCACGAGGTGCATTCACTCACAGTGGGGACGAGGTGCATTCACTCACAGTGGGCACGAGGTGCATTCACTCACAGTGGGGACGAGGTGCATTCACTCACAGTGGGCACGAGGTGCATTCACTCACAGTGGGGACGAGGTGCATTCACTCACAGTGGGCACGAGGTGCATTCACTCACAGTGGGGACGAGGTGCATTCACTCACAGTGGGCACGAGGTGCATTCACTCACAGTGGGCACGAGGTGCATTCACTCACAGTGGGGACGAGGTGCATTCACTCACAGTGGGCACGAGGTGCATTCACTCACAGTGGGGACGAGGTGCATTCACTCACAGTGGGCACGAGGTGCATTCACTCACAGTGGGGACGAGGTGCATTCACTCACAGTGGGCACGAGGTGCATTCACTCACAGTGGGGACGAGGTGCATTCACTCACAGTGGGCACGAGGTGCATTCACTCACAGTGGGCACGAGGTGCATTCACTCACAGTGGGGACGAGGTGCATTCACTCACAGTGGGCACGAGGTGCATTCACTCACAGTGGGGACGAGGTGCATTCACTCACAGTGGGCACGAGGTGCATTCACTCACAGTGGGGACGAGGTGCATTCACTCACAGTGGGCACGAGGTGCATTCACTCACAGTGGGGACGAGGTGCATTCACTCACAGTGGGCACGAGGTGCATTCACTCACAGTGGGGACGAGGTGCATTCACTCACAGTGGGCACGAGGTGCATTCACTCACAGTGGGGACGAGGTGCATTCACTCACAGTGGGCACGAGGTGCATTCACTCACAGTGGGCACGAGGTGCATTCACTCACAGTGGGCACGAGGTGCATTCACTCACAGTGGGGACGAGGTGCATTCACTCACAGTGGGCACGAGGTGCATTCACTCACAGTGGGCACGAGGTGCATTCACTCACAGTGGGCACGAGGTGCATTCACTCACAGTGGGCACGAGGTGCATTCACTCACAGTGGGGACGAGGTGCATTCACTCACAGTGGGCACGAGGTGCATTCACTCACAGTGGGGACGAGGTGCATTCACTCACAGTGGGCACGAGGTGCATTCACTCACAGTGGGCACGAGGTGCATTCACTCACAGTGGGGACGAGGTGCATTCACTCACAGTGGGCACGAGGTGCATTCACTCACAGTGGGGACGAGGTGCATTCACTCACAGTGGGGACGAGGTGCATTCACTCACAGTGGGGACGAGGTGCATGAGCTCGTCATCACAGTGGGCATGAGGTGCATTCACTCACAGTGGGGACGAGGTGCATTCACTCACAGTGGGAACGAGGTCCATTCACTCACAGTGGGGACGAGGTGCATTCACTCACAGTGGGCACGAGGTGCATTCACTCACAGTGGGGACGAGGTGCATTCACTCACATCACAGTGGGGACGAGGTGCATTCACTCACAGTGGGGACGAGGTGCATTCACTCACAGTGGGCACGAGGTGCATTCACTCACAGTGGGGACGAGGTCCATTCACTCACAGTGGGGACGAGGTGCATTCACTCACAGTGGGCACGAGGTGCATTCACTCACAGTGGGGACGAGGTGCATTCACTCACAGTGGGCACGAGGTGCATTCACTCACAGTGGGGACGAGGTGCATTCACTCACAGTGGGCACGAGGTGCATTCACTCACAGTGGGGACGAGGTGCATTCACTCACAGTGGGCACGAGGTGCATTCACTCACAGTGGGCACGAGGTGCATTCACTCACAGTGGGCACGAGGTGCATTCACTCACAGTGGGCACGAGGTGCATTCACTCACAGTGGGGACGAGGTGCATTCACTCACATCACAGTGGGGACGAGGTGCATTCACTCACAGTGGGGACGAGGTGCATTCACTCACAGTGGGCACGAGGTGCATTCACTCACAGTGGGGACGAGGTCCATTCACTCACAGTGGGGACGAGGTGCATTCACTCACAGTGGGCACGAGGTGCATTCACTCACAGTGGGGACGAGGTGCATTCACTCACAGTGGGGACGAGGTGCATTCACTCACAGTGGGAACGAGGTCCATTCACTCACAGTGGGCACGAGGTGCATTCACTCACAGTGGGCACGAGGTGCATTCACTCACAGTGGGCACGAGGTGCATGAGCTCGTCATCTTTGGTGCGATGCAGCACTCGGGTGAAGAAGCGCAGGTTGCTGCCTGGCTCAGATGCCACCTGCTCAGGGAGAAGGAAGGGAGACAGAGAGCGGGAGGAGGAGGGGGGCAGCGAGGGAGTGAGGGAGTGAGGGAGTGAAGAACCACAGGTTGCTGCCTGGCTCAGATGCCACCTGGAAAATCATGCAAGAACAAGTGTAACACGAGCATCATGTGCTTTTTGAGAATTCTCAACAGATTCATGTAAGCATTGCCATAACTTTTAGGTCGACTCAGAAGTCACTTTTGAGTAGACTCAAAAGCTGCAGTATGTGTCAGTTCATGTGAGCATTGCCATAACTCATATTCATCGCATGAAAGAATCGTAACTGGGTGATTGTGACAAGCAACCCCCCTTCCTTCTTGTCAAAGGACGGCCCAGATTCTGAGAGCGCTCTTGTGATTGCGTCGTGTTACAGTACCATGGCTATGGCTATGCCATGTGATGACACACCTTCTTGTACGTGTGAAACATGAGCAGCGTCTGCTAGTTCATGTATGGGTTGCCGTTAATCGTCACCATCGCATGAATGCTTCCCTTCTCCCCCTCCCCAGGCACCACCACCGGCTTCGCCACCTCCTGCTGTGACGCCGTCCCTCCTCTCACCAACCCACCTCCTTGCACCATAAACCCCGCTTTCCTTACACCAAATGCACCCCCCTCCCCGCTCCCCCTCCCCTCCTTCCGTCTCACCTTCTTGTACGTGTGGAACATGAGCAGCGTCTGCCAGTTCATGTAAGCATTGCCGTTACTAGTGACCATCGCATGAATGCTCCCCTTCTCCATCTCCCCAGGCACCACCGCCGGCTTCGCCACCTCCTGCTGTGCCACCGCCCCTCCTCTCACCAATACACCTCCTCCTTCCACCACCCCTCCTCCTTGCGCCACGCCTATCACTTGCCCCGCCCCCCCCGCTTGCCCCACGCCCCCTTGCTGCTCCTGCTTCACCCCCTCGCCTCCTCCTCCTCCTCCTCCTCCTCCTCCTCCTCCTCCTCCTCCTCCTCCTCCTCCTCCTCCTCCTCCTCCTCCTCCTCCTCCTCCTCCTCCTCCTCCTCCTCCTCCTGCCCCACCTTTCGTCCCCTCCGCATACCCCTTGGCCCGCCACTCCCGCTCATAGGCGCCAATCTCTGCATCGCTACGCCCCATCTCCCGCAGCTCTCGCAGCGTGTATTTGGGCAGGTGGTTAATGGCCTCGTTGACTTTCGACACCAGCACCTTCTGGGACTCCGATGCCTGCTGGGAGAGAGACGGGACAACAATGGGGTTGGGTGGGGTGGAAAGGGGTTGGGCCCGTCTCCCGCTGCTCTCTCAGCGTGTACTTGGGCAGGTGGTTAATGGCCTCGTTGACTTTCGACACCAGCACCTTCTGAGACTCCGATGCCTGATAACGGGAAGAGAGGGGGGGAAAGATGGGGTTGGGTGGGGTGGGAAGGGGTTGGGCCCATCTCCCGCAGCTCCCTCAGCGTGTAATTGGGCAGATGATGAATTGCTTCGTCCACCTCCCTATACCGCGACCCACCTCCCTCTACCGTGACCCACCTCCTTCTACCGCGACCCACCTTCCTCCACAATGACCCACCTTTCCATCTGGAGGTTCAGGCACTGGGTCCGGCAGCCCTCTGTTGGTGAACTGGTGTGACTAGTGCGTGAGACTCACGTTGAGACTTGTGTGCACTGCAGATAACACTCACCTCCCCCTCTGCGTTCTCACCTCCCCCTCTGCGTTCTCACCTCCCCCTCTGCGTTCTCACCTCCCCCTCTGCGTTCTCACCTCCCCCTCTGCGTTCTCACCTCCCCCTCTGCGTTCTCACCTCCCCCTCTGCGTTCTCACCTTCCCCTCTGGCGGTTCAGGCACTGGGTCTGGCAGCCCTCTGTCTGTGAACTTGCGCTTGTCAAACTCCCAGATCACGTTGCCACTCCAGTCCTGCAGCATGGGAGTGAAGGGAGGTGGGCACGTGCGAGCAGAAGACAACAGAGGGGAGCAATAAATGATGTATGTGAACTTGCGCTTGTCAAACTCCCAGGCCACGTTGCCACTCCAGTCCTGGATTATTGGCATTGGGGGACACATGACAGATGGGTGTGCGACATGAGACAGGAACGTGACCTTGTCTGTCACGACTCACACTCCCAGTGAAGAAGAACGTACGAGGAGAGAAAGGATGCATGGGAAAAAAAGGCTTACTTATGCATACTCAACACAGTTCTAAGTGCAAAAGAGGCGTGAGGCAGAGCGAGCTACAGAAGCGGCGAAAAGAGGGCTTCGGCAAGCGCGTGCTGCAGTGTGGCCCTGGTCGGGAGAAAGCTGTGTTGGAAGAGCAGCTTCGGGCGAGCCAGGAGTAGGTTCCGCAGCTGAGACTGGGGGTGCAGGAGGAGGGAGTGAGTGAGGGACTGGGGGGACAGGAGGAGGAGAGAGTGAGTGAGAGTTTGGAACCTGCTCCTGCTCCTCACCAGACTCTTACTCACTCTTTCCTCCTCCTGTCCCCCCAGTCACTCACTCACTCCCTCTTCCTGCACCCCCAGTCCCAGCTCCGGAACCTACTCCTGGGTTGCCCGAAACTGCTCTTTTTTCGCCGCTTCTGTAGCTCGCTCTGTCTCATACCACTTTCCCTCCCCTGTAAGAACTACCATACTTCAACATGATGAACTGCGTATTCAAATCGTCCCGCCCCACCTTAATCTGGCTGCCCCACGTGTAGTGCAACAGAGTTGCATCACCCGCCTCCTTGCCTTCTGAGTCGACTCAGAAGCCACCTAGTTAACCCATCTCACCCCAACTACTCTAACCGCCCCCGCATAATCACCTGAATAACTCGTCCCACCATCTAGCCAGTCTCACCTTGATCTGACTGCCCCACGTGTAGTGCAGCAGAGCAGCATCACCCACCACCTTGTCAGCTGGAGGCTGTGGGTAGATTGAGGGAAAGGGAGCAAGGGGGCAAGAGAGTAGATGGAGGGACGAGGGAGAGGAGATTTTTTAGCCGACTTAAATACAAGATTGAGGGACAGGACGAATTGGGGGCAAGGGGGGAGACGGAGGGACAAGGTGGGGGGGGAGAGCATGAGCACAGCACTGCTGACCACCACATATCATCACATATTATCACATAACACCGTGTATCACCACACATCACAGCACATTACCACATAGCATAACACTTCGCTTATGATGGCATGCAAAATGAATGCATACCACCCACCCACACACATCACCGCACATCACCGCACACCGCCGCACACCACCGCACACCGCACATCACCTGGCTCATGATGGCATGTGGCATTGGCGGCAGGTCAATCTTCACCCCTGCAAGCGCAAGGGAGATGGAGAAAGCATACATCTCCCGCACCCACCTATGGCAGGGGAGAGGGAGGTGGCGGGGGAGGAGGGAAGAGGAGAGGGTAATTGGTGTGAACAGAAGAAGGGGAGGTGGGGGAGGAGGGGACGGAGAAGAGGGGGGAGTTGGTGTAAAACAGGAGAGGGGGTACAGTTTGAGTGCGAGGGAAAAGGAAAAGGCATGATTCCCCCGCATCCACCTATGATGGTGGGGGATGAAGGGGGAGAGGGGAGAAGGATGAGGGGGGTGACAGAAGGAGAGAGGGAGATGAAGATGACACGGATTTACATATTTTGCGTTGCAGCATCTATCGCACCCAAATGTGCACTTTGCTCAAAACCGCACCAAACCTTTTTTTCTATCCTTACCAACCCTTGCAGAACCACTACCCCATGCCACCCACTCACTCACCCGAACCGCTCCTTGCTTTCCGCGTTCCCTTCGATGCCTGCTGTCACGTTCACCCATATGGGCACCACTTGCCTGGGATGGGTAGGCAGGGAGAGGGAGAAAGGGAGCAAGGAAGTGGGCACAGAGAGAGGTCGGGAGACCTGTTAGCTGCTTTTCGTGTTCCCTTCGATGCCTGCTGTCACGTTCACCCATATGGGCACCACCCTCCTGGAGTAGCAAGCAGACAAGGAGTGCCAACAAGAAGAACACGAATGTGATCATATGAGTATGAATGTGTTCATCCTCCTTATAGTGCCTGAACACGAGCCTGAAGAAGCACATGAAGAATATGAATATGATCTTATGAGTATGCATCTGAACACGAGCCTGAAGAAGCTCATGAACATGATTATGAATGCGAGATCAATCTGAATACGAATTTACACATGAGCGTAACTGCACCCAGCACTCACATCATGTCATCATATCGCATGATGGTCGGGGCATTGCCGGTCCTCGGGACTTCCTCGATTCGGTATGGCTCCGGGTAATACCTGTGATGTGTGTGAGAAACAAGCATGGTGCGCATTAAAAAGCGACAATTTTTTTCAGGCGCCTCAGAATTTGATACGACGACATGATGTGACCTCGATTCGATACGGCTCCGGGTAATACCTGCCGTAACAACAAGCGCTACATACACGAGTTACGAATAAGCGTTGCGCATGTAGCAGAAATATTTGCTCTCCGTGTAATGCTCAGAAGAAGATAAGATGGAGTGTTAACGCACGGTAAACTAGTGTCATGTCATGGTGAGATAATATGACAAAGAGTCTTACGGTTGTGGATGTAAACGGTGCATCCACAACCGTGTACACGGTGCAAATATTTCGGCTGAATGGACAATAATATGGCTGAATGGACCAACAATGAGAAATGAGATCATGGAAAACCGGAGGGATACAGCTCTTGCCTGCGCATGAAGGGACGGAGTTCAGGGTCTTGAGGTGCGATGTAGTCAAAGGGAAACCCCAGCGCCCTGCCTGCCGGCGGGATGGATACAGGCCTGCAGAGGAGAAAGAGAGTAAGGGGAAGTGGAGGGTAGGCAGTTAGGAAGGGAAAGAATGGATTGGCAGAAATCAGGGTCTTGAGGCGCGATGTAGTCAAAGGGGAACCCCAGCGCCCTGCCTGCTGGGGGAAGATGTAGCTGTAGAACGCGAGGGAAGATGTGGTGTGTCTTTTGACCATGAAAGCAATGGCTTCTCTTTGGTATGCAATTTACATCCCCCCAATAAGCTCGCCGGGCAAAGATCCGTCTCTCGACCATGAAAACGGTGAATTGATTTGATATCGGTGATACAGATTCGCCATCCCCGTTATAAGCTCACTTGACAAAGATATAGTCGGTTTCGATCATGAAGATCCACTCGCCCTTCACGTCCCCCGACTCCAGCCACTGCTGGATGGCAAAGGGGCGGCTAGCTACAGGGTATTCGCACCACGTGTCACACGTGGGGTCCAGGGGCTTGACCCGGACCTGGGCAAGAAAGGAAGAAAGGGTAAGGGAAGCAGGCAGGTCGAGGAGGGATGGAATGAGAAGGGAAGGGGTACTCGCACTACGGGCCACACGTGGGGTCCAGAGGCTTGACCCGAACCTGGGCAAGAAAGGAAGAAAGGGTAAGGGAAGCAGGCAGGTCGAGGAGGGATGGAATGAGAAGGGAAGGGGCGGCTTGCTACAGGGTACTCGCACCACGTGCCACACGTGGGGTCCAGAGGCTTCACTCGGACCTGGGTGGAGCGAAAGGGAAGAAAAGGAAGCAGGCAGAGGATGGAGTGAGAAGGGGCGGGTTGCTACAGGGTACTCGCACCACGTTTTTCACGTGGGGTCCAGAGGCTTGACTCGGACCTGGGGGAGGGGAGCAGGGTGGAGCGGAAAGAGAAGGTCAGAAGGGGCGGCTTGCCACAGGGTACTCGCACCACGTGTCACACGTGGGGTCCAGAGGCTTCACTCGGACCTGAGGAAGAAAGGGATGGAAGAGTCAGGGAAGCAGGCAGGTCGGCTTTTGAGGCGCCTAAAAAATCGTCTCAGAAGTTTGCTGCTACTCCCAACATGAACCTTGGACCTGAGGAAGAAAGGGATGGAAGAGTCAGGGAAGCAGGCAGGTCGGCAGAGGATGGAGTAAGAAGGGGAAGGCCTGCCACCTGTCACCTGTGAGGGGTACTCAACTCACTCACACCACGTGTCACACGCAGGCTCTAAAGGCCTGACAAGGGAGTTTTTGAGAAGTCTCAAAAACTCCCTGCAACGTCACACGCAGGCTCTAAAGGCCTGACAAGGGTGACAGGGCCTTCCCATGCATTCCACAAGGCCTGACAAGGGTGACAGGGCCTTCCCATGCATTCCACAAGGCCTGACAAGGGCGACAGGGCCTTCTCATGCATTCCACAAGGCCTGACAAGGGTGACAGGGCCTTCCCATGCATTCCACAAGGCCTGACAAGGGTGACAGGGCCTTCCCATGCATTCCACAAGGCCTGACAAGGGTGACAGGGCCTTCCCATGCATTCCACAAGGCCTGACAAGGGTGACAGGGCCGTCCCATGCATTCCACAAGGCCTGACAAGGGTGACAGGGCCTTCCCATGCATTCCACAAGGCCTGACAAGGGTGACAGGGCCTTCCCATGCATTCCACAAGGCCTGACAAGGGTGACAGGGCCTTCCCATGCATTCCACAAGGCCTGACAAGGGTGACAGGGCCTTCCATGCATTCCACAAGGCCTGACAAGGGTGACAGGGCCGTCCCATCCCATGCATTGCATTGCACAAGGCCTGACAAGGGTGACAGGGCCTTCCCATGCATTGCATTGCACAAGGCCTGACAAGGGTGACAGGGCCGTCCCATGCATTGCATTGCACAAGGCCTGAGTCAAACAAGGCCTGAGTCAAACAAGGCCTGAGTCAAACAAGGCCTGAGTCAAACAAGGCCTGAGTCAAACAAGGCCTGAGTCAAACAAGGCCTGAGTCAAACAAGGCCTGAGTCAAACAAGGCCTGAGTCAAACAAGGCCTGAGTCAAACAAGGCCTGAGTCAAACCAGGATGCGAAAGAGAAAGGGAAGGATGGACGGGACACGGAGGTAAGCCTGAAAACAAATAGCAAGGTATTCGAATTGTATTCGATATTCGACCAAATGTCAAATACAAATCAAAGCGAGTTGCCTTTCCCTATTCGACATTATTCGGTTTTCCAAACTCGCAAATATAAATACTCGGTTTCCTTAACTCGAATATTCGAACAAGTATTCGTATTTCAATCGGGTGTGCAACATACCTCCCCATTCTTGCGTTTTGAGGGCGTTTGAGCGGATAGACGGCAGTCACTGTGAGGCCCATAGTTAAACAACTATTCAATAAAATCATACAAATACCGTACCTAGCATCTTGAAAAGGGAAGCTTGAACCTTGGTGGGGTTGCACGAACTAAAGTACAGGTTTGTTTCCTAGAACACACAATCCAGGGTGGTAACACCCATACTCGAGTCGATTTGTATTCGACTCGTAATCGAGCGCATTCGACTCGAATTCGTATTTGACTTTCAGCCACTACTCGATCAAATACAAATCGCACTAGATATTCGACCAATATTCGAATACATAACTCGTATTCGTATTCGTATTCGTATTTACACCCTTACACGGAGGCATGGGCAGGATGTGGAAGGGTAGACACGTGGACATCACATGCATGAGTGCAGTGCAGTGCAGTGCAGTGCAGTGCAGTGCAGTGCAGTGCAGTGCAGTGCAGTGCAGTATCTGTCAAGTTGTCAGCCAGTGTAGCATGTGCCGTGCCTGCCGTGTGCAATGTTACCTGCTCTGCCTGCCAGGTATAAACTGCACATGTCACCCACCCCCGTGTTCAATCACCGATGCACTACTACTGTGGGCATCACATCACATCACATCACATCACATCACATCACATCACATCACATCACATCACATCACATCACATCACATCACATCACATCACATCACATCACATCGATCAGTGCGTCGTCTGTTGCCCGGTGCACCACAAGCCATGCATTCCGATGTACCAGGCGAAACCGCATTTCATCCCTCTCCACCCCATCTTACCGTCGGCATGACATCCATAAGAGCGTCGTCTGTCGAGCGGTGCAGCACGCGAGTGAAGTGCTTCATGTCACTGCCGGGCTGACCTGCGACCTGATGGGGTCGAGATGTTGGGGGAGAGGGCGGAAAACGCATATAAGAGAGCCCCCCCTCAACCCTGCCCCTACTCCTGTTTCTTGTTGCAGCACTCCAAGTGCTTCATGTCACTGCCTGGCAGAGCCGCTCCCTGATGGGGTGGGGTGGGACGGAAGGAGGAGGACCGGGAGGAGAGAGGGTGGAGAGACGACAGGGGGGAGGGAGGAGGGAGGGCGGATAAAGAGACGACAGGGGAGAGGGAGGAGAAAGCACACAACAGACCAGGCCACCTATCGCCCCTGCCCCTCCTCCTGTTGCCCGGTGCAGCATTCGAGTGAAGTGCTTCAAGTCACTGCAAGGGAGACCCGCCACCTGATGGGGTTGGTTGGCGAGGGGCGGTAGGAGAAGGAAAGGGGGGGTGGGCGGGTTTAAGGGCGAAGGCAGTGGGAGAAGACAGACAGGAAGACTCAGAAGTCACCAAATCACCAATTCACCTGCAGATAAGTGTAGTGCATGATCCGCGATTGCCAGTTCAAATATAAGAAGACTCGTTATAGCCTCTAATCCGCCTCACAAGTCACTGACTAACCTGCAGGTACGTGTAGTACATGATCCACGACTGCCAGTTCATATATAAGGAGACTCGCTATAGCCTCTAATCCGCCTCACAAGTCACTGACTAACCTGCAGGTACGTGTAGTACATGATCCGCGATTGCCAGTTCATATAAGGCGACCCGTTACTAGTCAGCATCACGTGAATCGCATTTTCCCGCCCGCCTTTCGCCCCCCCTCCCTTACCACCCTCCCCTCCTCCTTTCGTTTCCCTTGCTCCTTCCCCTCGTGCATTGCTGCTCCCTCTAGTGCCGCTGCTGCTGCTGCTGCCCGTATGGGAGCCTCGCAACAGACGAACGTCGTCAAACGAGCCACGCCTGGGGAAAACGGAGCGAGGGGAACAGGGAGAGGAGGGAGCAGACAGGAAAGCGAATGGGGTAAGCGCGTGCATTGCTGCTCCCCCTGCTGCTGCCCCTGCTGCTGCCCATGCTGCTGCTGCCACTATGGGAGCCTCGCAAGAAGCGAACGCCGTCGAGCGAGCCACGCCTGGGGAACACGGAGCGGGGGAAAGGGATAGAGGGAGAAGGCAGGGAAGCGAATGGGGTAAACGCGTGCGCTGCTGCTCCAACTGCTGCTGCTGCCAGTACGGGAGCCTCGCAACAAGCTTACGCGGCCGAACGAACCACGCTTGGATACCAACACGGAGCGAGGAGGCGGGAGGAGAGGGGCATGGTTCCGGGAAGTAACACTTTGGCCGAATAGGGACAGACTTTGCTAACCACCTGTGACAATTCTGGCCACCTGTTCACTAGATTGAAGGACCACCTGAAAGCCTACCTTCTCGCCTTCCCACGCAGGCACACGCAGACGCACTAGCTTCTACCGTCTGGCCGTCAAACCACACCAGCTAGCCGTCTAGGCGCACAAGCAGCAATAGCTGCACGACTGGCCGTCTAACCGTCTAGCCGCATTAGCCGTTTGGCTGTCTGGCCGTCCAGGCGTTGAGCCGTTCATTCGCGCACCTTCCGATGGCATGCAGACGTCGGTAGTGCTCGCGCGGGCGGGAGCAGAAGCTGATAATGAAGAGGCCAACAACGAGTATGATGATCGCTCGCGTCGTCGGCCCGTGCGAGACTTGCCGGCGAAGGCCTCTCATGGCTGGCGACGACTCTTAACGAATCTCAATTACGCTGATTATTGAGATTCGTTAATTGTTCAGTGACCTACGCGGATTATCAGTGAATCCTACACCAGGACAATTGACTGAGGGAGGATGGACTGGAGATGTGATGGTCTCGAGAACCGAGCTGTACCCAAAGGTAACGTTTGAAAACCATCTCAAAACTACAGAACCTGGCTTCGCCTTGCGTGTCCCCCTCGGGAACACCAAAACACAGGTGGGATCGGGTTGGGTGTGTTCTGGGATGATGATGTTCGATATTGAAAGTGCGGTTCAGGCCGTACAGGTCTGATCGTTGTGTACCGGCAGGACAGTGAAAATGACACGCATCTCATATGATATTACAGTTTACAACCAGAAACATGCAATCTTCATGCTAAAAAGGGAAGTCACACTAGCGTCGGATCGGAAAACTTTCCCACAGTCGCACCAGCGGAAGACTCATCCAGATATCCTACCATAAATTCACGCCCATAAGAACTCACGAGCAAGTTCATCTGCTAACATTTTCATTTGCAAGTTCATCCCACCTTCCCCTCCTCCAACCCACCCTCCCCAGCAGCAGCAGCAGCAGCAGCTTACTCACACCCAATCTTACCTCCAATCAACCTACTCGTTACCTCCATTCTCCACCCCTCTTCCCCGCACGAGCAATCAACGGTCCCAAATCAACCGTGGCGGGCCCTCTTGTCCCCCTCCTCTTATCATCCCCAGCAGCAGCAGCATCACACAGCCGAGCCAGCACTTCCGGAAAAGGCTCGTCAATTGCTGTCAGCTGTAGCTGCTGCCGCTGCACCACGAGAATGCGATGGCCTGCTTCCTTGGCACTTGAGTAGAGCTCCTGAAATGGGTGGAGGAAGAGGGGTAAACGAATGTAGAAGAGACAGAGGGAACAGAGGGGATGGGACGATGGGAAGGAGTGAGAGAGGCAACCTAAGGCTGGTCAAAGGCTGTAACCTGCAGCTGGTCAAAGGCTGTTACCTGCAGCTCGTCAAAGGCTGTTACCTGCAGCCGGTCTAAGACTGTTACCTGCAGCTGGTCAAAGGCTGTTACCTGCAGCTGGTCAAAGGCTGCTACCTGCAGCTGCTGCCGCTGCATCACGAGAATGCAATGACACGCTTCCCTGCCCTTTGATTGAAAAGAGCTCCAGAGATGGAGAGTGAAACCCAAACGCTCCCAAGGTGAGTGAAACCCAAACGCTCCCAAGGTGAGTGAAACCCAAACGCTCCAGAGCTAACACCCAGGCAGTTACGCTGTCACTCACCTTG